TATCATTAATGATGCGATAATGACGATATCATTAATGATACGATAATGATGATATCAATGTTGAAATGATGGTATCGATCATGACAATGATGAACACATACATGGCGTAACAATGATAACAATGGTAACGACGATGATGATGCTGATGATAACGATACTGATGATGATGATAACGATACCAATGATGATGATAATGATACTTATGATGATGATAACTATACTGATGATGATGATGATGATAACGATACTGATGATTATGATGATAACAATGATGATGATGGTGGTGATAACGATACTGATGATGATGATGATTAGGTGGAGTCGTATTACACTCGAGCTCTGGACATATACGACAACTCATTCGGTCTTGACTCGTCATTTTTCGTGAAGACAAAAAATAACTTGGTGGGCTGCCATCTTGAATTGAAATAGGATGCGGCCGTGCAAATCATTTGTTGCCTGCTAAAAAAAGAGTTATTAAGTTTATTTTTGGTTATGTTTGCGTCTTTCTTATGTTCTATTCGTTTTTTTTTTATATTTTTATCTTTTCTTTATTAATTTTTTAATCAGGCTTTCTTTCAGCAGAATATTTTTTTGTTTGTAGGAAGATAATTTTAAGTGTGGTTGTTGTTTATTAGTTTATAATAATTAGTGGTGAGGTCATTCATTTTGAATATTCGTGAGTATGTATGTGTGTGTGTGTGTGTGTGTGTGTGTGTGTGTGTGTGTGTGTGTGTGTGTGTGTACGTGTGTGAATATTCGTGTGTGTGTGTGTACGTGTGTGTCTGCATGTTAATGTTTTGTGTTTCTTAACCATTTTACTCTGGTGGCGATAAGGAACATGTTATTTGGATGGCCGTCATTAAACAATCATCTGATGGACGTGTATGCATTTTGCGTCTTCTTCTTCTTCTTCTTCTTCTTTCTTGTGCCTTATCCTTCAGGACATTCTCGACCATCGACCTCCACAAACATTCTAGTAGTTGAAATGTGGTGATGTTTTCTGTCACTGTTTAATAAAAGATTCGTCAAAACGATTAAATGAATGATAATATTTGTGGACTAGCTTGAAGTAATATCTTGAAATAATAATAATAATATAATAAATATATTTTTGTTTATATATTTAATATATCTTTGTGATACTATCTAACGTATCTTTAGATAGAGTGAATGGTTATTGTTCTGCTGTTATGATTATAGAAGCTCTGCTAATAAATTTTTTAGACTTTAAGACGCTTCGGGTTTTTTTTCAAATTGTATTAGGACTTTAAATAAGGCGGAAATAAGATTGTTGGGATCTTGACAAATTTAGGTGATGCAATAGGTAAATGAATAAATTCGTCCATCCATTCATTCAATCATTCATTCAATCATTCATCCATTTTTTTATCACGTTCTCACTCAAGTCTACAAACAATAATACATTTTACGGTTTTTTTTTACATGATTAAGAAGGATGTTAAGTTTATTTAACACAAAAAGTTTATAAAAAATTTTCACGAATTTAGCTCATACAATACATCTTGCAACAGAGAATTTAAAATATTTTAAGTCTCTGGTGTTGTAAGGTTGTGAGTAAATCAATATGGGAAGAATTTTTCATGTTTGTTGTTACAAAAAATCGGCTGTTGCTACAAAAAGAATGGTGGTCGCTACAAAAAGAATGGTGGTCGCTACAAAAAGAATGGTGGTCGCTACAAAAAGAATGGTGGTCGCTACAAAAAGAATGGTGGTCGCTACAAAAAGAATGGTGGTCGCTACAAAAAGAATGGTTGTTGCTAATAAAGTTATACAACATTGAAGTAATAGAAGTCTAAAATGTAGGTTGATATTGTTGTGTTTGTTGTTGCAAGAGGTTGAAGCGTTTAGCATGTGAGTTGTGAGTTTCATCATATTTTTCCTATGAAATGTTTCTGTGTGGAATGCGCATTCCATAAAGTTTTTATAAAGCTGGTGAATAATGTTTCATCTTCTGTTGCTATTCATCGTGCAGTCTAGCATAATGTATTGGTAGTAATCTCCAAGTCACGTTTTGTTTCATGTCTATTTCACTTTATAATTACTTCAAACCGATCAGACAGATTTCGTCTGATGAACCATTACTATATTTTACTATGTATAGCATAAGTGTCTTTATTAACTGCCATCTCATGCACAAATTTGTATCTAACGCAACCGCGTGTAAAAAAAAAAGAAAGTATGAATTTGAACAACGCCTCGATTATGGAAATGGAAACAGTTGAACATGGAAAAAATAATTTCCTTGAAATTTGTATCTTTCATGTAAGGAATTTAACCCGCACTGTCTCTATACAGTGTTTGCTGCTGTTATAAAAAGTCTCTTCAGGTGTATTCAGATCAGATAGACATTTGTCTAGAACACAAGTTCTCGTAAATATTTCACAACTCCCACTAAAACGTTGCACGGATTTGCTTTTTTTTTACATTGTAACAACGCACGTCACTTCGAGGCAGCGAGTGCGCGAAATCATTACTGTACGGCTGTGACAGTATTTGCGCAAGATAGTTTAAATTCTATACAACATCGACACGCGATATCGACGCCACTGTAGCTTCCGAGACACGCACATTCACACAACGTCCACGCAACATTCACACAACGCCCACGCAACATCCACGCAACATTCACACAACATCCACCCAACATCCACGTAACATTCACGCAAAACCCACGCAACATCCACGCAACATTCACGCAACATCCACGCCACACAACGTCACAGGTGGAGAAACTCTACAAGACGGCTTTAGAGATTTATGAGAAATTAAATCCGCTTGATGACAATAGTATTGCAAAAACTAAGAACTCTCTGGTACGTTTATTTGTCCATGTATTCGTGTCGATGGGTGGATGTTTGTTTGTGTGCGCGTGTGTGTGTGCGTTCGTGTGTGTGTGTTGAGATCATTCTAACTACTGAATGTGTTATGTTTTTATGCGTTTACATGTTGTTTGTATGGCTTTATTGTAAAGTTCTTCAGATTACATAGAGGAGTGTTATTTATCTGTATATTTGACATATGAATGATGTTTTTTTGGTGGTATATGCCTATATATTGTGATCATATCAGTCCATTATGATAATGCATATATAATGTGTATGTCTTCCTGTGTGTGTGTGTGTGTGTGTGTGTGCGTGTGTGTGGTTGTATGTGTGTGTGTGTGTATGTGTTTGTGTGCGAGTGAGTATAAATGTTTTTGTATTATTTCTTTACTGTATATTATTATTTATATATTTTTGTTTGCTTTACTTTTTGTTCTGTTGCATTTTTTATCGTTGGATATGTTGTTCTGCTTGTTAACTTCGTTGTACTTTGTTAGTTAGAATTTTTGTCTTGGTTTTTATTTATTTTTTTTTTTTATTTAAATTTTGATTTATACAATCTGTCAGTCCGTTGGTTCGTATACTCAAATCATTCATTATCGTACATTTAAATTTAGATTTATGAATGAGTTTGTCTGAAAACGAAAGCCAAACAAATAGTTGAAATAATTAACTACATCTTGGAAATTTTCAAATTTACAAAAATCCACAAAAAGTTTAAGACAATGACAAACTAATGTTATCACATTACGTCAATGCCGCCAGTGAACTAAATTCGTTCAATCACGTTGATCCAGTCAGCACTTTCATTCAGTCACACTCCTATCCATCCATTCACATCTATCCTACGATATTCATCCAATCACATCCAACTAATCAAAATTACTCATCCAATCACAATCAACTAATTACATTCACTTTTCCAATCACGTCAAACTAATTACATTCACCCATCCAATCACATTCATCCTATCAAATGCATTCACCAATCAGGCTTCAGCTTATTTAAAGCAGGGCAAATACAAACAAGCAGAAGAGCTGTACAAGGAAATTTTGACGAGGGCTCACGAGAGAGAGGTGGCTACAGGAACTGGAGGTTAACATTTATTATTATTGTTATTATTATTATTTTATTGTTATTAATTATTTATAATCCAAAAAATTAATTCATTTTTCTTTTAGCATATTTATCGAAAATTTTAAACCATTTTGTAGTTGGAATGATGTCAGAATTTTGATGTTTACATAAGAAGAATCATCACCATAATAAACGATTATAGTTATTATTAATATTAATTATTATTATTGTTTATTATTTTTATTATTGTTGTTACAATCAGTTTCTGGTAAACCCATTTGGATGCAGGCCGAAGAAGCTGAAGAAAAGAAGGTTGTTGAGATGACTCTGTATGTGTTGAACTGTTGATGTGTTTTAATGCGTTGTGATGATATCAAGATATCATCATGTGATTTATGTGTTGATGTGTTTTGATGTGAAGTATGTTGTATTATATGTTAATTTGTTTTAATGTGATGTTTGTGTCAGTGTGTTTTGATGTTGTGTGTATGACTTCGTTGTTTCATTTTTTTATGTGTTAATTTTGTTATTCGTTTAATGAGGCAAACTTAAAGTAGATTATCATTGTAAAATATAGGTGAAAAAAATCTCACTCTTAGGTAATATATATATATATATATATATATATATATATATATATATATATATATATATATATATAATATATTTTTGCCGATCAGTTAAAAGTGAACAGAGATGTGATAAACGAAACTAATGATTACCTGGGACTCACAAAAGCTGGAAGGATTGATAGGTTGGTTGGTTGGTTGATTGATTGTTTTGTTGGTTGGTTGGTTGGTCGGTCGGTCGGTTGGTTGGTTGGTTAGTTGGTTGATTGGTTGGTTGGTTGGTCGTTGGTCGGTTGGTTGAATAATTGGAGGTTGGTTGACTGGCCGGGTACCTGGCTGGTCAGTTAATTAATAATTTATTCATAAAAGGAGGTGATTTATAAATTAATGAACGGTTAAATGATGATTTCTTACTTGCTGTGAAATAATTTAAAAGTTAACGTTGTTAAATTTTTTTTCATGTCCTTGTGACTGGATGAGGATTCTTTACACGTCCAATTAATTAATACCTTACTTTTGCAGATAAGTTGTTCACATTACTTTTGCTTATAAAATTACAATGCAATGTATCTGATTAATGAGTTCATTTTTTTGAAGCACCGTCTTACATAGAGATAGAACAACTCGTCGTTCAAAAAATATTTCAGCAAGATTAAAGTTGAATAATGAAATAATGAATTGTTATACAGTCCAACGGTATCGACAACGCTGAAGAACTTGAGTGCACTGTACAGAAGGCAGGGCAAGTTGGAAGCCGCTGAAACAATTGAGGGACATAACAGGATGCACGCTAGGATGGTACGTTTGTTCCTATTGGTCGATCGTTTGGATGTGATGAGATGTAAGACGTACCAGCGTCTCTTATTAGTTGATCGTTTTAATGCGATTAAATGTTAGGATGGTACGTTCATTCTCATTGGCCGATTGTTTGAATGTAAGAATTGTACGTTCATTTTTATTGCTGACTCTCGTGGTTTGGTAAAAAAAATGATTGAATGAAATTTCAAAGAGTAATCGTGTAACATAAGGCTAATGTTAATTATTCGTAAATATTTATTCTTAAAGTTCTAACCGTTTCTTATATTAACGTAGAACAACTTTTAGAACCATGTTGACATGTATCTTGAGAGGCACAAACGTGCATTCATTCAACATTTATATGAATTTTGAAGATGTATCTTTTGTATTTTGAGTATAAAGTAAATTTGTTTCGACCTGATTGGAAATGCCCAAGCATATTCGTATTTGTTGGGCAGATGTCAATGGAGAGGCGCAAGACGACGATAGGCAGTAACTACACGATGAATGTCATGACCCCTGACTTCGGAGCTGAAGACATCAATGCATCACAATCCTCCCTTGATAGAGTCAGTTGAGAGACATCATTAACATAATTTATGTGCTTCCATTTGTTGCTTTCTCGTTATTCGTCGTTGTTTAGCCGTTGTATTGTGTGTTGTTTGCTTTTTACGCGAATTTTATAATGATGGCGCATCTTATCAGCACGGTATGCTGCGGTTGGAGCAGATGTTAATGTCTATGGAGGGCTATGGAGGATTAATGTATATTTTGTCCATCTTGTTCGTCTTGGGCACTGCATACTGCAACCTTTTTTTTCTTGATATTTATTTTGATCCTGATCTTCATTCTGGTGCTTGTTTTGCAATCTTTGGTTCTGTTTATTTCTTTTTAGTTTTTCATTTTTTTTTTGTTTAATTTAAACTTTTTTGATTATGATTATAATTTTTATTTTATTCGATAAAAATTTACTTTAGTAATTATTTTATTTTATATTCAAAATGCCGATGATACCTAATGACGAACGTATTTTTATGTTGATGTAGGCTGGAGACATCCAGCCAACTAGTTCGTTCTCGAAATTGCGCCAATCTCTGGCTAGGGGCGGGGCCAGGATAGTTCAAAAGTTGACAGGAGCAGACAAGGACAGGTAATTAGTGTTTAGGATAATTCGGCCATCCACTTTATGCTTAACAATGTTTCGCGTATGTTATATGAAGATATAAAATTTTTAAATGAATTTGCACCAAAATATTTAGGATATAAAAAATTATAATATAATTCTGTGCTTCTGCATATGCATGTCTGTGCATTCCTAATTGTTTGTTATACTCAACTAAAAATTAGTTGTTCATAGGTCGTGATGTAAACCTTTGTATAAACCTGTGTCCTAACTTGCATGCATTTTATAATTCACGTTTGCATGTTGCCTGTGCCTTCAGAAAATGAATGGCTGTTATAAAAATTGTTAAAAGTGTTAAAAGAGTCTGCCCAGCGACATTTTAAAATTGCGAATTTAAATTTTTAGGCCAACCAGTGGAGAAACTTGACACAGCACGAATTAATCCATTCACAATGTAATAATCCTCGCTAAATAAATATCCTTACATATGAAAATTTAACACTCGTTATGCCGTTTCATAGTAAATTATATCCGGCTTGTTGGAAAACTAACGAGTTAAATAACCCAAATTACTTATTCTTAACATTTTCAATTTTTGCTTTTTTTTATTTGAATTATACTTTAAGTTCCAGTTTGGTTATTTTATTTTTATTCTGTTTTTTAATCATTGAGTTTATTTTTGGCGGTGCTTTGGTGTCTTTTGTGTCCTCCAGCCCTGCATATACGAAGCCATTAACAATTTTTAAATTTATCATGATTAACATTCATGTTATTATTTTTAATGCTTCCTGCTTCACAAATACATTTTTATATGAGCGTAATTATGACATTATTAATTGTTGATGAGTTTAAACCTGGATTTTGTTACAAATAATATCCCAGGTTTTTACCGGTTTTAGCCAAACAAAGTTGAATTGAACGTTGAGAGAGTATCTAATTTAAAGGTGTAGAAGACAGAGCAATTATATGCATTTATACATGTGTTCGCTCTATTTTACTTTTTTTAAAAAGCTCGATCGAGTTGTTCAAGTCTAAGATAGCAATAAACTTTGAAAGGAAAAATATCCATTTTGTTGAGATTATTTATTTACAAATTCAATTCGCAACAAATAGCTTCAAAATTTGTAGGCGTGTTAACGTCTTTCATGAAAGGTGTACTGTACCTGCATTTTCATCGACACGTCGCTATCTTTTTGAGAGAAAACACGTGAGAGCTGTTGCCAGCCGGTTGACTCAAATCAGAACTCAATAACCTAGAACACTGTCTTAAATTATGGCTGGAAAACTTTGAGATATAAGATTTTTTGTTTAGATGCAAGCCAGACTTATTACTGCAACTAAACAATCTGACACAATTTTTTATGTCCTTGACCCCAAACGACCATTAAAACAAATTATCACAAACTTTGTGTAGAACTGGATTAAAAGTAAAACCACAAAGTCATCATATGTGAATTATGTTGATCAACATGTTTAGTTGGTTTGTTCATCATTCTTGAAAGAACACACCAATAGGCTTTACATGTAAAGTTGTAAAGTTTGTGTGGGTTCTGTGTGTAAAGTTATTAAATCATTGCTTAAGACTAAATTAGGTACAAGATTTAGAATGAGAAAAATTTATTTTGTGAGGATGATTATGCAATTTTTTTCTAAAAACTGAAATTTATTGTACAGCATAATAAAAGGTATCAATGTCATCTTTGTAAACATGCCTGTGTAATTTTACCCAGTTTCTAGGCAGTTTTCATTACTTAACTTTGTATTAATTTAAGAATATGAAACGATATTGAAATTGGCCAAGTTTCTTAGTTAAAATGAGGTCTTGGTTTCATTTGATTCTGCTCTATACTGCTAATTAAGTTATGACGATTTCAACATTGCTTATTAGTAATATTTATGATCGATATCGTTATTAACATCAACCTAGCCGAACCTGTAAGATTCTAGCTTTTGTTTCTCCGCTTTACTAATTTATACCTTTTATATCTTATAACATGATAAAATACCTTATTTGATGCAACAACTTGATTATAATAAATAATTCATCATTTTTAATTTGCATTTTTAGCTGTCCACTTTGTTAACAGTGATTTGTGATTTTGTTTCAAAATCCGTTAAATGTCTTATAACAAATATAAAGCCCTTGAAATTTGATGGTTGGATGACGTTTATGAATTCAATAATTTATATATTTTTTGAAGTTTTTCTTCTTTATTATTTCAGGGTGAAAAAGTCGGATTCACAGGTAATTTAAATTAGATGATAATTTTCATGCTCAATGTTTTAATATTCTTAAGCATTAGGATTATTGCGTTCAAATGTACCTCTGAAGTGCAACCAATCATCAAAATGTAAAAACAAACTTTTCTATAGATTCAACTAACTAGATTCTGTTTTATCTTCAAATATCTAACGCTGTTTATGTATTTTTGTGACTTTTTTTAATATAGTTGTCATAGTTTTTACCTGAAATAAAAAAGATTTCAAATGAATCAGTTTGACAAACACAACCGCTTTGTTTCACGATGATATTTTTTTCTGTTACTCCTACTGACCCATCTATTAGATGAAATCATGACAGGATTTTTGATAGAGTTTATAATTCGATGTTTATTTAAATAAAAATTAATGAAACGTGAATTCATTTAGTTGCCGTTTTTGTTTTAGCATCAACAGTCAGTTATTTAACAGTAATATATATATATATAATAATAATGTGTCTGTTTGTTGCAGGATGATCTTAATGAGACTGCTGCCTCCGAACTGCAACCGATCACCTCCCTTATTGGAACTGACGCCGACGACTTTATCATCTAATCGTTATCAGTGGATAGTTATGAAGATAATGATGATGATGAGGAGGAGGATGTAGAGTGCTAATGAGTTGAAATGATGTAGAATTTGTTGTTAAAGAATTTCGGCAAAGTTTTTCGAGTTTGAAGTTTAGAAAGGCTTTCAACGCAAACGGCTATGATGACAATGCAATATAAATGTTTTATTTTTTTAAACGAAATTCATTTTTTGTTTCAAATGTTTAGCAATATATATATATATATATATATATATATATATATATATATCTGTGTGTATAATAATTGTCGTTATTTGTAATAACACGTTAGTACTTGTTAGATAGTTGGGTTCGTAAGATGTTATGCTCTATGTAGGTTGTGTCTAACCTAGGCAAGTTTCTATCACACTGTTTTAATCTTTAACGTTCGTTACTACAGACACCAATGTTATAACTTCAATGATCTCTATTTTCAACACCAGTGTTGTAACTTCCAACGATCGTCAAGTTATCGTTATTCCGTAGGTTCAAGATTTTCGAAAGATGAACACAACCGCCTCAAACGTAAACTTGGTTGAACGTTTATTCGAATTCCAACAGTAATAGAAACACTAAACTAATCCAAGTAACTACAGAAACCACATTTACGACTTTGCTTCAGACCTCGCTATTGACTTCACTACTCCTGCCCCTTATATATTAGAGATTCTTAGGATTCAAAGATAACAAATATAGCCAAGATATATAATCAAAAAAACGATAGCTAATTATATAGCGCAAGCCGTCCATTTCGGCCGATATAACAATATTACCAATATAAATTTTTCAATGTTGCATTTAGAAATCTCAACTTAAGCACTGTGTTCAATTTAATTCAAATTCGTGGTTATGTAAGACCGACCGCCTTACACGTTAAATATCCACTGTTCATTCGTTGTTATGTATTTATAACACACACACATATGTATATGTATATATATATATATATATAAACAAGTATATCTGATAATGTTTTCATTATTATTATATAAAGAACCTTTAACTATTTGTTAACGATGTAACCTAATCTGGCATTTAAATGATGCTTTTTTTGTCAGTTGGACTTGCATTTAGTTATATGATTGTAAACGTCATTACTCAACCTGTGATGGTGACGATATTCCGATACAATAATAATTATTATTAATATATTTACTGTTATTATTATTGTTATTTGTTAATATTTTTATATTTATTATTACAATCATTGTAGTTGGTACAAGATAGGTTAGAAAAAATATTGGTGAGAAGTTTGCTTGCGGTAGGTAGTTTATTTGACACGTTCACATTCTAGTCTTAAATTTTTTTTTTGTTTCTTATATTCATCTAAAAACGTTCTAATAGTATTCAAATTTTCAAAACCATTTTTTTTAAACCATTCGTTCATCTTTTAATAGTTATTCAAAAATTTCATTTAATTTAATATTTGCTATAACTATTTTTTCAGATTCAAAATTTGTTAAATACTCATTTTGATTTTCTCTAAATGGAGGATGTGATTGATTTAGAACGATATGCACAGTGCATGCGCCTAGTTTGAGATATTTATAATAAACCTCCTATTGTATTCTATTCATTTAGGTTTGTTTGAATTATTTCATGTAACAAAATATTTGCAACACTTTGCTTAATTTTTCGTTTTGTTTTATTCTATTAATTTTCTTTTTTCAATGCAGCTTTGAACGTTTTATTTAATATTTATATTTTAGTTGAACTGCAAAAAGCTTCAGTAAAGGAAATGACATGATTATGTTATATTTTTTCTGTTTTAGATATGCTCTCAAAATATTTCTAGTTATTCGAGGATTGAAGCATGTTTTACACTATGCGCCACTCTTTTCTTCAGTACATAATGTATATTTTTATATCAAATATAGTCTGTTTAGTGTGTAGTTCGGTTGAATAAATTAAACATATTTTTCTCACATTGAAAATTTGCACATAGGTTAAAATAAAACTCAATTGTGAAAGTATGGCCAAAAAATATATATGATTACGTGCACGGGCGTAAAAGTAAATGTGCCGACTGTGAGATGACTCGTTTGAACGCTTTGAAAACTTTGAACGTTCGACACTACATACACCAATGTTATAACTTCAAAGATCACTATATTTCAAACACCAGTGTTGTAGCTTCCAACGATCGTCAAGTTATCGTTATTCCGCAGGTTCAAGATTTTCATCTGACTCCGGAAAGTGTTGTGAATTTGAGAACTAGGTGGCACCAAATTTTTTTTTAAGATCGTGTTTTCAAGAAAAATAAATGTATGTAATGATATGCAATCATATTAAATACGGAAAACGGATGCCAATAATGTGATCAAGATCACATAATTTTCTTTTAGTATGTTTTGAAAAGAAATAATAAAGTTTTTTCACTAAGAAAAAGCAAACATAATGACTGGTTGTAAAAATTTTTAAAGTACTTTTATATTTAGTGGTGATATTTAAGTTAAATTATGATGCAAAATTTAAAAAATTTTGAGGAGTCCGAGTTAGTTGCTGTCCGTCCGACACCCTGTCTGTATTATACGCACGAGTCATTTCAGTCAATCATTATATTGATTAAATTGTAATTTTAATTAACATTTAATCGTATTGGTGGAAAGAGCTTATTTGTCCCATTTTTGGAAAAACCCAGATGTATTTTCCCATTGGAAAAACCCAGATGTATTTTCCCAATGGAAAAATCCAGATGTATTTTCCCATTGGAAAAACCCAGACGTATTTTCCATTTTGTCACATTCTTATATTTATATATAAATTGAAACAGGTATATGTACATGGTTTGGCACATCTTCAACAAACGCAACTACGCTTGATGTCAAATACATCAAGTTATCAAGTTTTCAGCAGTGTTACTTAGGAATGGGAAATTACCTGAATAGAAGACGGCAAACAAATTCAAAAAGTGAAAGTCAGTCAAGGTAATAACTTGAAATTGTTAGAAATAAACAAATTAATTTAAAAACTTTTAAAGTTTTATACAAATGAACGGCTATTAAAAAAAGCGATCACAACGTAATTATAAAGTACGCATACTTTTAATACAAAGTCGATTTTTTTACGTAAGATTATTATGAAATAAACATTTATTTAATATTTAAAATTTAACCCACGGGATTATCAATCATTTCACGTAAAGCTAAGATTTAAGATATGAACGACATATTTAGGAACGTATTAAGTGAGGCTTGGAATAAAATGAAAAATGTTTAAATTGAGCACTGACCCAAGTCAAAGTGCACGTTCTAATTAAAGAGATAAATTGGTGCTGTTTTGTTGTGATGATCATATTTGATCAAAATAATCCGAGAGCAAAATACAAAAACATATTACATATTATTTAAGCTTAATCTTTCTCCAAAACTTGAGAACTTTTCATAATTTCATTTAAAAATTACCATTTTTTCTTAATAAGCACCAAATTGATCTTCTGCCTTCCAAAGGCTAAACACCCTCGTCATACGAGGTACACACACATTTTTGTATGTACGGCAACCGACGAAGCTAACATTGCAAGATGCCCACGAGACGTGATGATTTTTAAGTTTGGCACAAACAGCATTTGAACCAGGTCAGCAGGTGATACAACAATGCAAGACATGGCAATCCTACCATTTATCGTTACCTGCCAATCATTTTAATATATCTTCTTTGCTTTTCTGATGAATAGAGTTAGGCTTTTTCCTCAATTGTTTTTGGTTAGTTATGATCAGACACTGTTAGAATACAAATATGATTATATAATCAATAAATTATGTTGCCTTACAATGACTCCAGCTAACTTAACAAGACGTCAGCCCATTAGAAAAATTAAATCTTAAGCGTTGTAAATATAAATATTATTATTTCCTCCTCTATCAATCGCATAATACAAGTCCATAAATATTCAAATGCTGAATGGTATTCAATATTCAAGTCCTTCTTAACATATTTTAGCTGTTCCATTTTCCTCATGACAAAAGTAAGTTAATTTTTTATACTTAAATTGTTAATAGTATTATTTCGTATACTTTTTTATGCTTAGGTGGAAAGCTTGCACTTGATGCTACATAATATGCATATACACATGATAATGTTAACATACAACAACTGTGCTGAAATATGTTTTACCAGTTTATATCTGACTTTCTGCAGCACAAAGTCGTAATTCAGTTCATTAACCGACAGTGCATTATAGTTGTTCATCATTAACATTATTTGTTATAAGTTAAGTTTGTTACTAATGCATTCAGCCCAATGTTCATTATTTATTAGTTTCTTCAATATTTTTCTATTTTGGGAATGCAGTGAACGATCGGAGTGTTGAGCAGTGTCTTCCATTAAGGTTTCCTGTGAGGTGCGCAGGCAACACAACCACGATCTGGTCACTATCTGGGCCAAAAAAGCATTATTTTGTTTTAGTTCTTTGTTGGCTTGTTCATCGCAGTCCATTCACTCAATAAATATGAAATAATTGGTATGAAATAATAATTATATTCAATGAAATAAAATATTACATACATCAATTATATACTTGATTATGTGCACATCGTAAATGTGACTCATAGTAGAAGGCATGCGTGTATGAAAGAGCTAACAACGCATGTTATAGATTGAATGCAGCTAGCTATAGCATATGAAGCCGATATAAACATTTGTTTAGCTGTAGATATTAGACTGATGATCATATGTTTTTGTTTACACCGCTCGTGTACAATTTGCGGTGTTGTTTCGAGATAAGTTTAAATATTTTAAATTTAAATACATCGCAAAATAATCTTTTTGACGGTTTTATTTGACGAAAAAATTGAATTTGGCAAAGACAAAGGTTGGTTAATTGTCATCTTATAACTGTCGATTTAAGTTAAAGTCATTAAGAATATTATTTATCAGTAGTGTACTTACTGTTGTATAGTATTACATTTCTTACGTGTAGTGCTGTGTGTAGTGTTATTGTTAACGTAGATCCTAGCTATTTAATGATTAAAACAAAACAGCGATAGACTGATAGATCGCGTTCTATTATGTTCTTCCTTGGCTGAGTTAGATTCTGCTACTCGTTTTCAATACGCCTTCTACCCAAGTATTGATCGTGATGTATCCTTTCATTGGATTTTGAAATTGAATCAGCTTTCTCTGGACAGTTGTTTAAAAAAATTTTTGTTCGGATCCACTTGTTTAAACGCCGCGTGTAAGCTTTTCACCCTCTTCTGCTGTTTGTATTAAGCATGAAACGCGATAGGGACAAAGAACTAAGCTATAGAACAAAGCCATCCTTAGAGTGCATTTTTCAGGATTTGAAAGTAATTGCCTAATTTTCTAATATAAGTATCATAATAAAAATTTTTTAGAGAAACATGCATGTGTATATAAATATATGAAAAGGGAAAAATATTATATATAATATCCTAATTCTAAATAAACAATAATAAGTTTTTTATTCAATTTTTCAAAACGATCATATGTTTCAATTTAACTACTTTAAATCTTTCGTTCGTTTTCAGAAAAATGGCCAAAGAAGGAATGATAATGTGTTGCATAATCGATGAAAAAAGTAATGAACCTATACCTTTGAAAAAAATTAATGTTAACATCACTATCAAGGGTTTTGTAGCTTCAGTTGAATCATTATTAACTTTCGAGAACAATGGCGATAAACAGTTGGAAGCAGTTTTCAAGTTCCCGATAGATGACGGCAGTGCAGTTTATAAATTTGAAGCAGACATTGATGGTAGAAAAATAGTGGCTGAATGCCAAGAGAAGAAGCAGGCGAAAAAGAACTATGATGCTGCTGTACAAAGTGGGCATGTGGCAACATTACTCGAAGAAGAAGATTTTGTTTCTGATATTTTCATATGCAAAATCGGAAACCTTCTCCCTAAAAAAACTGCTGTGGTCAAGTTTTCGTACGTTACCGAAATCAGCATTCAGGCTGATGGTTCGTTGAAATTTGTTTTGCCAACATTACTTAATCCAAGATATAATCCTGATGTCAGCAAAGGCGGTCTTGAAAAAAGTCCTTCCATCAAAAGAGTTGCAGCATGTGATCAACCTTATGAATTTGTTGTGAACGCAACTATTTCAGGATTGGATATATTAAATGTGACGTCTTTCAAAGATAAAATATTGTCGTCACTCGTGAATGGTAGCACAGAAGTGAAATTGCAAGATAAGTTTGTGGCTGATCACGATTTCGAGTTGGAAATTGCAATCAAGGAACCACACAAACCTTTTGCAGTAATGGAAAAAGGTTCAGAAGATAAGGATGGAATTCTAAAACAAGATATTGTCATGTTAAATTTTGTTCCAGAATTAGATGAGTCAGCTATGTCCAGTCAACATGAATTTTTGTTTGTAATAGATAGATCAGGCAGTATGGATGGTTCTAGAATAGAAAGTGCCAAAGAAAGTTTGTTGTTGTTTCTCAAAAGTTTACCACCAGATTGTTATTTCAATATAATTGGGTTTGGATCAACTTTTGAGTTGTTATTTAAAGAAGGAAGCGAGAAATATACAAAAGAATCTTTGGAAAAAGCATTAGAACACCAAAAAACGTTATCAGCTGATTTGGGAGGCACAGAAATTCTTGAACCATTAGTAAGCATATACAGCAAACCAATTTTACCTACACATAGCAGGAATATTTTTTTGATCACCGATGGTGAAGTATTCAACACTGAAGCGGTGGTTAGCTTGGTGCAAAAGCATTCGCACGATACAAGAGTTTTTACGTTGGGCATTGGCGAGGGCGCTTCTACTGCTTTAATTAAGGGTGTTGCTAGGGCTGGCAAAGGCAAGGCAGAATTTGTGAAATCAGATGACAAAATGTCGCCGGTTGTCATAAAGTTGCTGAAATGTGCCATGCAATCAACATTCACAAATATCAAAATTGATTGGCAACTGAATGGAGCCAGTTGTATTCAGATTCCTAAAGTTGTTCCTCCAATTTTTCACAATGACCACACAGTTGTATACGCTCTTGTTAACAATTTTTCGGGGGGAAAAGCTGTTTTAACTGGCAATGTCGGAGATAAATCGTTTGAGTTTCCCATGTTATTGAACCAGATTAACGCAACCGAAATTAATAAAGATATGCCTATTCACAGAATGGCTGCAAAATCCGAAATTTTGAGACTTCAAACGGAGGATGAGAAAGAATCAAATAAATCAGAAATAATTCTTCTAAGTGTTGCATCGAACGTGATATCACGCTACACTGCATTAGTTGGTGTAGACAAAGTTAAAAATGAAGTTGTCGTCGAAGATATGGTCACTTGTCTCGTGCCAACCATATACGATCCCACTTTAAATTATCCCCAGCCTATGATGGGCTTCGGAGGAGGATATCAAGTTCAATGTTGTATGGCTGCAATGCCCATGAAGCGTAGTTTTCAAATGTCAGGATCTCCAATGAAGGCTTCTTATTTCAGTGCAGATGTCGTTGACGGTGTTGAAGATGAATGTTATGATTCGTACGATATCAATATCATGAGTAGCAATAAAGTTAAGACAGTTGTGAAAGATGATTTCATCAGTTTGGTGTCTTTGCAATCGTTCGATGGAAACTGGAGTTTGACAGATGAAACATGCAGTTTGCTGAAATCTGATTTGAAGGCATTATCTAATGAATCATTGGTTAAAAATTTGGATGTTTGGGCTACGGTTCTTGTGCTGACATTATTTAGAAAAAAATTCTCCGAGCGAAAAAACGAATGGGAAATGATCGAGTTGAAAGCTCTGAACTGGCTTTCCAAGCAAAATCTGGAAGGTCGACCAGAAAAAGAATTGTTCAATAAAGCAGATAAAATTATTTCTTAAAAATTAGATTACCGACATTTTTCTAACCAAACATTTTCATTGAATGCTCTAGATGTGAAACGATATTTGTTTTTATAGTTATTTGCTTGCTTTCCTTAGTTTACATTCTGTATAGTACCAAACACTGCAAGTTTTAGAAAAGTAATAATTTCTAATCCGTTGAATCAAAAACAAAATTCACTGTTGAAACTTTATTTAATTTATTATCCATAATATTATTTATGTTAATTTGTAGAAACCTATGTAATCAATATTTATTAAATAACAGTTAATTCTTTAGTTTGTATACTGCAAAAGCGTTGTACAAATGTTAATATCAGTAACGGTGTCAAAGATTAATCGGGGCTTTTTGAAAAATGCTTTTAAAAACCATTCATGTGCTTCTATAAAATAATAACTTTTCCAAGTTTGTTATATAAAATTATGCCATTTGTCCCCTATAGAGATGCATCTTCCCAACTGCTGTCCAATTTCATTTTTCAGTAATAATGTAGTTGGAACAGAAAAAAACACAAATTTTAAGTGTTTTAGATTTTAAAATAATAAAACCTAGGTTCGGTAAAAATTATTTTGCATGATGTTGCCTCAAAAAGTGAAATCCGATTTTCGTGCACACAACCGCTTGCAATAGTTTCCTTAACAATTAAAACTCGTCCATCTTTTAAGACTCTTGAACACTGTGAGGAACTTTTTTGAAAGGCCTTGAAAACCACTAATCGTAAAAAAAACTTACTGGTGGATTATCACGAAAGAAAGGCAATAAAATTCTATTATCGTCTCATTCTGAAGAGTTAAATTAATAACTACAAGCTTAAAACCCTTTGTTTCTTTAAGTTTATATCAGTCATGCAAATTCCGGTTGAAATTCTATTATATCCACGTTTTAATAAAATGCATAAATTTAAAAATAGACATCTACTTACACAATCGCAAATAAAATTACAATTCAATTTAAATGATCACTTGAAAAAAACATAAATATGTACATGTAAACTGGTTAACACGAATTAACTTTATTCACACACATGCAGACAGAAACACAACAAACAAACAAACAAACTTCATTGCAACAAAAACGCGACAATTGAAAATAAAGATTAAGATTATGTTTAAAACTTCCACTCCACGTCAAGGTCCACCGTCCGCATGTCCTGTTCAAGGCTCGTTAGATCCATCTCGTCTGTTTCATATGATCGTTTTGAATTAGTTAGTTAGCCAACGTTTATGTTAATGAGCTAGATGGACATTTTTATAATTATATCATTCATAATGAAATTTTTATTTAATGTTTCTACACAAAATCTTTACAGAATGAGCAAATAAATGATTACACATCAGTAGCGTGTAAGTTGAGCGGCGTGATGGCCTAGTGATTAAGGTAGCCCGGCGTTGTTTCGCAGAGCGTGCATTGACCAGGTTCGAATAGGACTGAAAGATCCCCGCCTATAACATGCTTCGGGTTTGATGCGTCGTTGACTCCTCTGAACCTTTGAGCAGTTTAATTGACCTTTAATCTTTAAGATGGCAATCGCGATACAATTTCTAACTCAAAAAAATGTAAACATATTCACAATTTGCTTTTATATAACCTTGATTAGGTATGTTGGTGTGATTAAGTGACGTGATTGGCTGAAGAAGTTCAGCCAATGATGGTAGATTTTTTTGTCTCGTCTGCTTAAAAAATGAATGCGATTCCAATTGGACTGCTGTTGGTCTGGGAAGGAGGAAAATGTAAAAAAAACATCAAAAACATGTTAATTATAAATTGGAAAGTTTCTTCATTCAGTTTAGGCAATTATAATTTGTAGCAAGAATTATCAGCCAGGAACATCTAAGGAAACGTAAAATGTTTAAATTGTATAAAAAATCTAACAAATGCATAGCAATACAAAACAAATGAATGAAGTTTTAATATTAAAAAGCCAAAAAACCAACCTGAGATTTGGATCGTAGGTGAGACACTGATTGGTGAACACGTGGAAGTCCCTGGTGAAAGATCGCTTGTACACGTCAGGGATGTCTTCTCCTACGTTCGTGTTCACGTGCATGTTCAACATTCGAACGATAAATATCGTTCTCACTCAAACATTTATTAAATTAATTAGTTAGTAGAGTTTTCATCCGAAAAACAACGTTTACGTCCGCAAATATTCATAGTTTCATATTTTTTTGTAAACGAAATATCTACTTTTAACGTCCATATATGCTAATACCTTCTAATATAATATTATCAATAAAACTCTGGTGTTCATACCTCGATCCCAAACAAGCTATGAAATAGTTATAACTAGTTATGAGATTGAACTATTTCAAAACATCATACATAACTAGAATGTATCGGTAGGTAGATACAACACGAGTTTTTTTTTATGAAACCTGGTTGTATTCGGTTCAGTTCTCCGTATGTTGTTTCATCAAGTAGTGTTGGTATCCGGCCCTCCAGCTTGTTTAGCAACATCTAAGTAAAACAAATCCAACATCTAATTTTTTATAAAAAGAATATCTTTAATTTTCAATTTCACCAAACATTTTCATCCTTTTCATTAAATATCATCAATTTAAACTACTATTCAGATTGTTTTATAATTTTTAAACATTTTTCCATTCAAGTCAAGAAACTATTGAATCGATTGAAACTTTAATTTCCAGGAAACGTACGTTTGGGAAAAAGGGCTTCACAGAGCAATAAAATGTAACTTTAATATCTCAAAAAATGGAATTAATTAAGAGAGACATGCTGACCTGAGTCATGGGCATGTCGTAGAATGGAATGACCCCGTTGGCCAGTTCACAGGTCATGACGCCCAAGCTGTAGATATCCGACTGAGTGTTGTAACCGGCTAGATTCTTAGTCGCAAATATTTTGAAGTAATTTTTAAACTTTTAAACAACCAAAAAAAAAAAATAATAATTTCAAAAATATTCATTTTTATTTATTGACAAAACTGCCCAGAAGGCCATAAAGAACCAAACTTTTAAAATATTTTAAAATATTTATTATTAAAAAAATTATTCTTATTTCATTTTTGAAAGCAGTTGGACACAGCATAAACGGGAAGTGTTTGAAATTAAATTAATTTTTTAATATTTACGAAAAAAAATTGAAAAGAATCAATTATTATTAATACGAATGTGACAGCACGAATAAAAATAATATTAATTAATTAATTAATATTTAATAATACGAATGTGATAGGACAACAGACTTGCTCCAGTAATTCCCTGCTGGCCCAGTTCAAATTCCTGATATAAAAATCAGGAAAATCGTGAACGGTCTTGAGTCTGACGCCATTGTTTAGCATGCTATAACAGTGGGTCAGCCCTGAAATCATGGCCACACCATCCCCATTGACGACCACGTGACTAGCCCTTAGCCCCCTGTTGTTTATATTTATTATTCATTGACGCGTCCAACTTAAAAACAGGACACTTTTTGTTATTTTTTTTTATTTTTCGGAAAATTTAATTTTAAAATCGGTGCAGTTGTGTAAATGGCTTGATAGTGTAATGGCTAGGGCAGTCTGTGATACAACAACAACGATATTAACATAAACAACAACAAGAAACATCATGAACATCAGTAACAACAATATTAACAACAACAATAACATCAGCAACGACGACGATGATGATGACAACCTATGAATGATATATCTCGAATGTAGGTAGACAAGAGCCGAGAGGACATCTTTCAAGATGAGTGCCACACACAGTTCAGGCAGACCAGCGTGGAAGTGAGCGTGTATCAGATCTTTGCAGCTACCTACACAACAAAATTTAAGAGACCGAATGTCAATCAATCAACCAATCAATCATCATTATTATTATTGATTATTATCATTTTCATTCATTTTCATAAATACTTTTATAATAACAATAATAATAATAAGTATTATTAGTAGTATTAGGAGTAGAAGCAGCAGTAGTAGCAGTAGCACCAGTAGCAACGGTAGTAGTAATAGCAGTAGCAGCAGCAGTAGTAACTTCATTATTACAACTAACCAAATCCACAGAGAGGCATGATGACCCAGAGACAACCATTCATCACAAAGTTGTCTATAATTGGCAGGATGTTCTTGTGCTTCAGTGTCTTGTGCATCGTCATCTCATGCTGTTGTTTCATCATGTGCATTAAATAAACATGAAAAATGGAAAAAAATCAGTTTGTTTCATCAAAAAAATTGACTGTTAAAAAAAGTTTACCCTACAATCAAAGCTCACCTAGTGAATTTATATCTTCTAAATGGTCCCAGTTTACAAAAATTCAGCCACAGGAATTAAATAATGTAACAATAATGTAAATAATTTATATGCATCATCATTCGTCCATTCATTGTTCATTATTCAAAACAATGGAGCAGCTCTTTATTATCTATATAATAACAATGTAATGAACAATTTGTGTAAAGCATGGTTCTCAGGTTCATTCACCGCATAAATGCTGTGCTGTGTGTGTCATTGATACTTCTGAAGGAGAGAGAATGACCTTTAACTTCCAACTCAATTATATTACACATTACAGAAACTAAAAGTAATGAAGTAATTATAATTGTGTAAGGTTTTAGTTGGAACGAATAAAAAAAACACTACAATCATGTTAATACTGTAATAGAACTTTTAAAAAATTAACAAACTTTGATTGTTTCTAAGTTTAATTCACATTTATCGAGGTCAATAATTTTCACAGCATAAACTTGATTAGTGTTCTGCTTCCTGGCCAGGTAAACCATCACATAGTCAAAACTTCCTTGACCTTCAATTTTTTAAATAGATATCATCTTCATTTTTTTTATTGGGAGTAAAAAAATTAGCTATCCTATATCAAAAACCAATTTAATATTATGAATAATTATAAGGTCCTAAATAATAATAATAATAATTTTTAGAAATTTAATTAATTTTATGTTAAATATAATTTTTTACGCTATATGCTAAAAGTTAAGTAATTTAAAAGGCAGCAGTAAGTAAGTATCATTATTCATATTGAAAGATAGGATTGATTGAATTTTTTGTTTTTCAGTTTTCAAATTAAAGAGTCTTGTAAATAAAAAAGTAATGATAGAGTAAATGGTATTATTTATTATGGTCAAAAATATAGAAAAAAAAATTTCTAAAAAATATTAAAAAAATTATTAAAACTATAATATAATCCTCCATTATCATTAACAATTTAATATGATAAACTAAATTTACACAATTTTAATAAAGATAGCAGTATACTGTTTCACTAACATACTCACCAACTAACTAACTAATCAATAACGACTAACCAATCAGTGTACAGAGCTTCAGGTTGGAGTATAATGATGGGGAGGAAGAGAGGGATTTGCTCATAATAAATTAATAAATAGTATTTCAATTTGTTTTTTCAATTTTAACTCAAGAAAATTGTTAAAAAACTCGATTTTATTTTATGGCATAACCAAACTTTGCGAAAAAATAAAATATAGACAAAAAACTGCAGATAATAAAATATTACGGTTAAAAAAGAAAATAAATAAAACGAAAAGTGAACTTCAACCAACTAAAAGTTAATGTCAGTAAATAAAACTTTCCTATACATATAATTAGAATAAATATAACGGCCTTCGCTCATTTTTGACGGTCGAACAAGGAGCTTACTTCCGGAGGGAAATTGGAGGGAAATTTTTTATCGCCCAAGTCAAAAGTTACGATCGTATATTTATTAATTTCGGAATATTGCTTTTATTTAAAATTTCAAAATGTTTTAAAAAGTGATACTAGATGCTGTTTTAGGATAGATATTGCTGTATGACGGTTAAGTATCTTTTTGCATTTTAAATAAAAAAAATTTTTTATGAACCACCAACAACACTTACTAAAGAAGTTAAGACTTAACTCATTAACTGTAACAACACTAAACGACGACTAATTAGTAATTAAATTACTAAACTCTAATAATTAAGCTAAAACTAAACTCTACTGATTCTAATTACTAATTGAAATAAATAGCAGATAACACTAACGAACATTAACAGATTAGCATTAGACTACTAGAAACTACCAACCACTACCTACAGTTCCTAAGATCCTAAATTCTATTGCTTGATTGGTTTTAAAATTTTTATTTACAATGCTTAGGTCTGGGAATAAAAAATATACTAAATTAAATAAATATATTAAACAACTTGTCAATCAATTTTATAAAATAAACAATTTTGTAATTTGTTCAATTGAAGCTTCAAACTCCCCAAGCTAACTTGCAATTTAATTAAAATTTATTAATTATGAGTGATTCAAACTAAATTTTTTTTCATTTAATGTTTTACAAAATATTCCTCATTCTTAAATTGTAGTACATGTTGTTATTAAATTTATTAAAGATAATGTGTGATTCCAGTGATTCATCAATCCATGACTTGTTAGATCATGATCATTCAGTTTTAAAGAATCCCCATCACCATAACCAATGAGGTTTGTAAAAATTGTACTTTTAATTTATTATATTTTATGCACTTAGAATGTTGTGTTATTAATTATTATCATTAATTTATTAAATGCTGTGCATACCTATGGCAAGTAAATAAAATAATTAAGCATAGAAATAGCCACAATCAAATTAATTTATATAGGCATGAGTATAATTTGGATAATAATAATTAAAAATATCGGTATCATTGAAAATGGATAAAGTCATAAATAAAAAAATAAATCATAAATTGCTAAAAATAATAGTTCCAGTAAGATTTTGCCTACATCTACATCTTTTTTTCATTCTTATATTATAATAAATGTTTGTTATCAAATATATCAAGGATTGATTTCTCAATCCATGACTAGATTGGATGTCATGATCCTACAGTTCCAGAGGATCCCCATCACCATTAGTCAATAAGATTTGTAGAAATCATCCCAGGCACACCATCAATGTTTTGTAGCCACCTTTTAATGTAGTGTTAATAAAATGACATTGAGAATAGTTATTTAAAACAATCTTATTAAAATTATTAAACAGGTATGACAAGATTACTTTCTTAATGTCCTAGTGTGAGGAAGATGTAAGCCATTTGTCCAAAGATAATCATATGCCTTATGCCCATACAAATGCAGTGTCAACACGAATGATTTTTGATCAGAGTCATATGTTCTAATTTTTTTAAACTTTTCCAGAAATTTTTCTGTTAATTTATTTGTTACATTAAATACTTGATGTGTATTTCATATAAAAACTTGATTATGCTAATTTAGTTAACTTGTTAAGCATTAATATAAAATTAACTCTACTTGTAATGGTGATTGGTATGATGATGATGATCCCAGTCCTAAGCAGGGTTTATTATTCACAATGTCAATCAATCAATGATCCTCTGTAGTCCCTTAAGGGACCGTTGAGGCCGATGGTATTCTTCTATCTCTCCAAAATCCTTTTCTTTCCCTCACCATCTTTATTGAGCCCAATGTTCCAACCCCCGTCCATTCCGTGATATCATCCATCCACTTCCTCACAGGTCTTCCAACTTTTTTCTTCCAGTCCCTCTTTCTCATCAGTACTTTTTTGATCAGTCTGTCGTCTGTCATTCTGCAGATGTGCCTAAAGATACCCAGCTTCCTTTCCTTGACCCTTTCATACACAGTTTTTTGTCTTCCAAGTTGTTTTCTTATATCATCGTTTCTTATCTTTTGTCTCCAACTGATTCCCAGCAACTTTCTATAACAATGCATCTCAATTCACAATGTCATTATGCCCTTTCTAAGTTTTAATAAAATACATGGAATATTGTTGAATGCATTTTATATTTTTTGTATAGATAAGAATGTTGCAATGTACAATGATGATGTGAATTGCTTCCTTGTGTAACTGATGACATATAAATATAACTAACTTGAAAACATGGGAATGCTTTCTTCAGCATTACCTTCCTTTCTCCGTCATAACCTATAATCTTTATTACAGAAATGGTCACTGCATATTCTTGCATTTGAAATCATTTATTTCCTGTCTGATGCACTTAATCCAATCGTTTTGCATTTTTACATTTTGAGGAAATCTGAAATTTTATAAACTGTTACAGAAACTTGTGCATTTCTTAAGTATTGCTTTTAATAATAAAATGGTAATCCATGATAGCATTATAAATTATAATAGTCTATAAAATAAAATATATGTAATTGTAAAACAAAATAGTTCTATTCAATGAGTATAGGGATATTGTTACATTTATTTTAGTGTGAAGTTAATTTGAAAATAAACCTGTGAAAAGATGCATCAGAAATTTTCTCATTTCTATTTATTATTAATGCAATTTTTAATGCAACAGGTAGGCATGTTTGTGTATAGCTACGAAAATGAAAATTTACTTAAAAACTAAATTATTGTATCTGACACGAAAATTAGTACAGAAACAAAAACGAAAGAATAAATGATAACATAAAAATTTAAACATTGATTGAAAGAGTTTATTCTAATTATATGGTATGAAATCGTTGGAGGAAATGGTGTCAACAGTAGTTATTTTACTGCATGGTAGTTAATCAGCCGGTATAAAGGTTATATTCAATTATATAAATGTAGCGAGCTAAATATTAACATAAAAGCGCTTTTAAATCTATGCATATTGGCTCAGCTTGGCTTGGCTTGGCTCGGCTTGGAATCGGATGTTAAGCAAGATGTGGTCTCAAACAATTTTTAATTCTTCCCGAAAAATTTGAACTGCTTGCTTACATATATAGCACTGATTACTGTTTGCTTTTATAATGAATTTTTATTATATATATATAAAGTGACTGGAATCCATGTACATAAATAATTATATTATATTAGATTATATGTTTATATGAAAAGCAATACAGCAGATTCAACCAGCCAACCAGAAAGTTTCGAAGGCATTCGTTCGATGACTTCAATTTAGTACGGTTAGCATTGTGGTTAAGACTGTATAATAGTGCAGTATATACATTAAACAAGTTTTTTACTGATGCGAATGATTGAAATGATGAGAATGTATGGTTGAAACGAGTATAAATAGAGGAGCTGAGACAACATGAAAATCAGATCAGCATTCTGCCTCGCTTGAAGCAGTCTGTCTGATCTCATTTATTTTATTTTTAAAATTTTTTTATTTTTATTTATTTTATTATATAGAGTTATATAGAGTTATAAAGTGTTATATAGAGTTTGCATGTTTGTAGGTGGTTTGAATGTTTGTAGGTGGTATTTTTTTAATTTTAGGTGGGTTCTTTAACGGTTGCTCATACATACATACATATATCATGTTTGTTTGTGTGGTAGTATTTTATGTTCTGTTTTACTCCTTTTTCTCTTTCTTCATGAGTCTTGAGTTAAGTTAATGAAGCATAGGTAGGTGAGGTAAAAATTAATTTATTATATAGGTAGGCTAGGGCATAAGGTAATTTAGTTACATAGGTAGGTTAGGGACTCCTATTCTTTTACTCTACTTGGTGGTGTGATTTTTGTTTTGTGTATTTTTTTGTTTTGTTTCACATCATACATTCAGCAGGTACGCGGTGGTTCCTGGTTTTAGTGGAATTTTTATTGATTGAATGTGGTAGTGTGCATGGTTATATAGAGTTATATAGAGTTATATAGAGTTATATAGAGTTATATAGAGTTATATAGAGCATAAATCCTATATAGATACCTTTCTTTGCTCTTGTTTTCTCTTTTCTTTGCCGACCGGTCGGTTTCTTTGCGGTTATTTTCATTTAAATTGAATAAATAAGATTTTTCCATTCATTTAGGTTTTTCAGGTTCATTTATCCAGGTTGAAGCTTCCAGAGGAGTTCATCGTGGACGATCAGAATGGTTGTGATGTCATGTTACGTTCGTTCATTCGGTGGCAAAGAATGCACGCCCTGCTGGGGTACGTTTTACGGTTTCTTTGCGGTTCTTTTTTTTGCCAGTTGGCTGGCTTTTCCGGCGGAATTCACCGCGGCTCGTTTTTCTATTTTCATTTAAATTAGTCTAATAAATAAGATTTTTCCATTTCATCCATTTTATTCAGGTTGAAGCTTCCAAAGGAATTCATCGTGGAAGATGTCAGGCTACGTTCGTTCATTTAGTGGCAAAGAAGATACGCCTGGCTGGGATACGTTTTATTCTTTTTTCTCTGTTTTTCTCTGTAATTTAACATTAAGTAAGAATGCTCACACGCACACGCACATACACACAATTACATTAAGTAGCTATATAGGTAGGTTAGATAGGCATAATTTTAATTGTAGGTAGGATAGATAGGAAGCATCCAACACTAATGTAGTTGAATAGGTAGGCAGCGTAAGTTTATCTCTTCTATTTTTTCTCGCACCCACATTACACGCATCAGCGTATTATACACACACACAAACACATACATAAACACATATTAGTATTTGAGCGTTATTTTATTTTCATTACACATTCTAATTTATTATTACTAAGGATGAGTAATTTAATTTCATAGGTAGTTAAAAGCAATAATTTAATTCTAGGAACAATCTTGTAATTTAAATTAAATAAACGCTGTAAGTGTATCGAGAGGTAAGTTAGTTATTAAGTTTTA